AGAGAACTAATTCTGTTCTCATAACGTTGAAATTCTGTTGTCATTCTTTCAGTTAAGTAGTTTCTTAACTCTAAATTGAAATAAAAGTTAATAAAATAGTAAAATTAACAGTAATAATTAAACTATACCTTGTTCAGAAGTTATTACTTCTTCAGTAATTTCAATTTCTTCAGACATAATCAAAGGCATTTTAGTAAATTTGTTTTATTTGTTGTAAGATTGCAATAATTTTGAGATAGAAGTAGTAAAAAATTGCTAGTTTTATTAACCTGTATCTATTCTTGAAGAAGTATTAGCAACAGCCTCTTCATATGTTGGTGAATTGTTCGGTTGACTATTAATCTCAACATTTAGAGATGAAGATCTAGTTAAAATTGTAATTCTTTCAAGATTTTCCATAATGTATTACAGAATAATAGGTATAGAAATAATAAGAAAAAATACGGTTAAAAAAATGTAAATATGTAGAGAATTTGTGAAATTTTTGTAAAAAATTGGAATTGTACAGTATAAAACAGTATTTTTTTTATAGCAATCTACGTCTGTTATCAGTAGATCATAATCAAAACATATTAGGGCATTGTTTGTTATTCCAGATTTAGGTTGAATGGAGGGATTGGGTGAGTATATTTGGATGCATGTGGCTTGTATATGACCACATCATCACACATGTTTATCGGACAACAATATCAATTAACTAAATCAAGACTCATTTTTAATTTTTTATTGTTACCCAACCAGGCAATAGTAAAACACCCGTTTTAACCATTGTCTGGGTGGGTAACAATAAAAAATTAAAATTAGCAAATAATATTTTTATAATTTTTTAGAAATTTTTAATTAAATTATTATATTTTTTATTTTTTTATTTATTTATTTATTTATTTTTTATTTATTTTTTTTAACTCTTTGATAGTCTTGCCAATGCTTAATTTATTTAAGACTATATTTTGATAAGAGTTGAACTCTCTTAAATAATATATATCATTCATAATCTAAACAGGAAGTTTCACAATTGTGAGCCTAACATCATCTGGCTGTGATTAACATGCCCACATACAACTTGTCACACCAATCTGTATACAAGTTAGATAAACTTTGTTAGCCTGTCAAAACTTTTCTCTTTATATTCTCTTTCTTTATTAAAAGCAAAAGAAAGTAATAATCTTATATCTAATACAAAACTACTGATAATACCAAGAAGACAAAATGAAAAACTAACTAAAATAAAACAAATAAAATGAAGTGAGAATTTTAAAGAAAAAAATAAAAGAGGTACAATGAAATATAAAAAAAAAAAACAAAGAGAAAAGCCTAAGAGCCAACAAAGAAGAAACTATCTCTATCAAGAAATAGTACAAATAAAACGAAAGAAAAAAGAAAAATATAAGTTGGAATCCTGCAGCCTAGTGGTCTAGACACCCAACTCTTCATGAGTAGGTTTTGGATTCAAGTCCTAGTAGATACATTTACCTATGAATATTTGGAAGTATTTGTCATAGAAAGTCTAAGTGAATATTATACAAGTCTAGATTAGGAATTTCCAGAAGGAGGTCCATTGTGGAGTAGTTGGCACTACGTATAATGATAGTTGTTACAGAAGGTTTTATTATACAAAGATTGTACGTGTAAATCCACAATTGGCAAGGTAGTACCAACAACCCCTAAGGCGGCATTGGAGATCTTGTTTGGGAGGATAACCGGGTGGTAACTAGAATTGGAAAGTGGTAAGAAATGTGGTGAACACAAAGGGACCTGTAGTAAAGAATTGGCCTTACTAGATTTGAAACATCTCTGGCATATACGAAACTTACTGGCCAATAAGAAGTTAAAGCATGGAGGCGTGTATGTGTTAATAGACCTAATAGGCTCTTGTCGTACTTGTATGGGAGCCTTTGGCATTAAGAGAACTCGGAACCACCAATATAGATAGAGCTGGTATAAGCGCATGTAGTAGTAACCAGAGGCTACAACTGCTAAGAATTACCATAAAAAGAAATGATGATGTATCTGTTACTTCTGAGTCTCATAATGCCCTCCAACTATACTAACTACTGGAAGCATTTGCGAAACATGTCTGGGTAGCCTTGTCACCATATTGGAAAATATAGTCGTTAGTACAGACCTAATTGAATACATTAAGACCTAGGTCTTGAAAGTCACAGGAAACCAGCTAGTTATGGCAGCATGCAGGCTTGAGATACTTACCTGTTTGGGTAGAGGCAGCTATATGGCTTGAGATACAAACTCCTGGAAGTACGCTAAGTAAGAATTAAGGGAGAGAATCTCTCTAATAGGCACACCCTACCTGGTATACACCAATTTGGGAGTTGAAGATAAATAGTTTGTAGGTAATATGGCGAACATGTGAATACTAATTGGTGGTTGGGAAGGGATGTATAAATTTAGGTTAGCTATTTAGTGGGGATATAGTTAGCTCTGGTGGGTTTTAGCTATGGATAAATAGTTAGTATACCTAATGTTCTAATCTTAGTACTTGATATAATATGTATATGTATTAGCACTATTATATGTCAATCATTTAAGTATTAAATAAAGTCTAAGTGTGGGTACTACACCCTTATAATTAAAAAAAAAAAAAAAAAAAAAAGAAGAAAAATATACTATTATAACCTGTACCAGGTTTAAGAAAAAATTTTATAACAACTGCAATGTTTATATATCTCGACTACAAAATCTAACAAATTATTATCTGACTATTGATCACTTTTAGATGCCTCTTATGCCAGAGACCTGATCCTAGTTACATGGAGATTCCATATCCATAGACTATGTTGCGTATCGTATCTACTAATAAACAAGACATGTGGTTGCATTCCTGAGTACATCTGAATTTGAAAGATAAACAATGCCAATTTTTTAGAAGGAGTAAGCCAAATCGTCTACTCTTTGTTGAAAATTTTGAAGAAGACTAGCCAAGTGAAAAACACCCAGAGAGAGACCACTTGCACCCAAGAAAAGTAGTTACATTTATATAAAAACTTAACAACTCCTAAACCTTCTTCTAGAAAAGAAGTGGGACACCTTTACTCTCTTTTTAGTAAGTAATAAACTTTGGGCTTGTCAGCAAGTAGCATATAAGAACTACTTCTAAACAACAAGTGCATGCAAGCGGTGAATAATAAACTCTGAAAAAGTTAGCAAGTAGTGTATGAGAACTACCTCTAAATAACAACTGCCAACTTATAGCCAAGTGTACCCTCTGTTTTTTACTAAAGGCTATTGTGTTTTTTACAAAAATGTAGTTGGATTTTTTGGTACAAATAATCGTTAGAAAGAGTTATTTTATATTTTGCTTTATTTTTTTATTTTTTCTATTTTTTTTTTTGTTCAAATTCGGCAATCATGCCACAACTTTATTAGGCTTTGTACAATTCTTATAGAACAGTAAAATTTTATAAAGAAGATTTATCGGTGAGTGATAAACTCTGAACAAGTTAGCAGATAGCATATGAGAACTATCTTTAAACGACAAGTGCTATACCCAAGGTACACTCTAAGTTATCTAAATTACGAGTTGCGACTTACCTGGTTACCCCAATTGGCACCTATGTGCGATCTGCTATAGTAGATTTCTCTTCTATCCAGCCCCTCCTGAATTTAGATATTAACTGGCTCTTAACAGATGGTACCTACCACCTATTATAACTACCTCTCCTTCTTTCAAGCTTCTTCCACCTAAGCTTAACTAAATCATTAACTCTTATTCATACATAAAAGAAAAAATTTAATGAAAGACCTAAACATCTTAGAAAAAAAAACCTCATAGTAGAAAAAAAAAAAAACAAAATTTTAAAATAATCTAACATAAATTGAACAGAGATGAAAAAAAATGAAAAAAGAAAAGGTAGCTATAACAGGCACTTTGGTAATAAAAATTATATAATAACTGCAACTAATTATTATATCTTGTTATAAAACGTTCGTCTTATTTTTAGAACTCATTCCATGCACTGACTCAACTTGAGTATCTCCTAAATGAGGGTACTGTATCCATCCCTGTACCGTAGTGCCACATTTGTAAATCAACAAAACACGTGGTTGCTTTCTACTGAGTCCATTCCAATTTGGTAGGAGTAAACAATGCCGATCTTTTAGAGGAGGTAAGCCAAAATGCCCACTTTTTTCGAAAATTATGGTAAGAATGACAAACAGCGAGAGAAAGGTAAAAAAACCAATAGGAGAGCACCAAAGGAGCATGAGTTTTCTTTACTTCGATTAAACCCTCCGCCTATGACTTATACAATACTCACTTTTTTCGATGAGTGATAAACTCTGAGCTTGTCGGCAGGTAGCATATGAGAACTACCTCTAAATGACAAGTGCTGTGTTGCAAGGAACAGTGAGTGATAAACTTTGAAACAGGTCGGCAGGTAGCATATGAAAACTACCTCTAAACAACAAGAGCTGTCCTGTAAGCCATTTTCTCATGTCTTACGATTTAAACCTCAATATTTTATTGAAGTGCCCTGACGTCTAGTGTTTTTTCTTGTAAAAAATTTTTGGAAACTGGTGGTCCAGATGATTGTCGGAAAGAGTTGTATTTTTTTTTTAATAAAATAAGTATATTAAAATTAAAAAGCTGTTGAAAAATTTACAAAATGCTATCAATCTGATTAGCTAGATTTAATAAATAGTTTTATAGTACAAGCTAGAGTTAATAAATTAGATATAATTGCTAAAATGCATTGTGTGTATTTATATGCAAAAAGACATCTTGCAGTTGAAGCATTTCTGAATTTAATCATCAGCAAAATATATAAGTATAAATGTTCATAAGTTTTTATAGTATATAAAAAATTGTAAATACGTAAAATTTAATGTAAAACTATATAAATCTTATAATGCATAAAAAAATTGTAAATTTACATAACTATTTTATACAAATTTACAAATTTCTTATGTATTATAAGAAAAGTGTAAATTTGTCTAATATTTTTATATAAGTTTATAATTTTCTTATACAATAAAAGAATATATAATTTTATAGCAAATTATTTATATAAATTTACGATTTTTTTATGTATTATAAAAACTTATGAAAGTTTATAGAAGTTTAAAAAAAATTTATAATACAAAATTTAATTTTAAGAAAAATACAAAATATTTATGAAATATTTTAAAGATTTTAAAGATATAAAAAAGATTTTAATATAATTAGTTTATAACTCAAATTCAATGTTATCTTGAAACAAATAGCTTGAAACTTGTAAAATATTTTTTTCAATATTGTAAAATATTTTAAAACATTTTGTATATTCGAAGCACTATTCAAATTATAAGTTATAAATGATGAATTATCAATTTATATTATGTAACTTTGGCCTGAGAACTCTAATTATGGCAGCAGGTGGCTTGAAATATGGGTCCTCAAACAG